AAGCGTCCTGAAGTACTGGGGTGGCAATGAACCCCTCCGAACCTGAGTTGGTCCAGCAAGAACACTCTGGGTTGGAACCTCCTTGTCGAGCTCTATCTGAGGCTCCACTATTGGGGCTGCTGCTCGGGCTTTGGGCTAAGCCCTGCCCCTACCTCGGCCTCTAGCACGACCTCGGCCTCGACCTCTAGCACGACCTCGGCCTCGACCTCTGCCCCTCGTAGGAGCTGCCACTGGAGGCTCTGGCTGCTGCTCAGAGGAGGAAGCGGTATGTGTTCTCGCCATCTGCGAGAGAATAAGAGTAGAAGAGTTCAATCAGTATTGAGAAAATAACATCGCACGACAGAGGAGAATAGAAGTGAAATTTGTTTCTAAACTTCATAGCCTCTGGAAGATAAGCACAGACGTCTCCGTACCGATCCTCCAGACTCTACTAAGCTTGCTCATGAATCGTGAGACCTAGTCAACCTAGTGCTCTAATACCAACTTGTCACGACCCGGAATTCCCACCGCCGGAACTGTGATGGCGCCTAACATTTCACTTGCTAGGCAAGCCAACGTTAGAGAATCATTAAACCAAATCCTTATTTCCATTCAGTAAATAACAATAATTAGCTAAGATGAAATATGATAAGTGCGGAATAATATAAAAACTGCCTTAATTACTACCACTCGGATTTGGAGTCACAATTCACGAGCATTCTAGAATTACTATAAGCAATAGTCTGAGAAAAATACAACTGTTTGAATGAAAGAAACAGTAAAACAGAAAAGATAGACATGGACTTCAAGGTCTGTGAACGCCGACAGATCTACTTTGAGTCTTCGGATAGTGGGTCCAATAGCTAAAATCTCGATCAACCCGAGCTGGTACCAAAATCTGCACGTGCAGAGTACAGTATCAGTACAACCGACCCCATGCCCTGGTAAGTGTCGAGCCTAACCTCGACGAAGTAGTGACGAGGCTAAGGCAAGGCACCTACAAATCAACCTGTGCAGTTTAACAATGTATATACAAATAACATTAATGAAGAATTAGACAGGCGATATCGGGAGGGGGAAACATGCTGGGGGAAATACGAGATAAAGAACTACAACAGAATAATAACTGGAATAACCAATACATTATAAATCAACAAGAACATGAATACAGTAAAGGAAATATGCACGACATCACCCTTCATGCTTTTACTCTCAATCTCACCATAAAATCAATAGAAATGGCACGACATCACCCTTCGTGCATTAGCTCGCATATCATGGCACGAAATCACCCTTCGTGCATTAACACTCATAATATTGCACAACATCACTCACAATATGGCATGACATCACCCTTCATGCATTAACACTCACAATATGATACAGTATCACCCTTCGTGCATTGACACTCTCCCTTACATAATGCAATGAACAATTAACAGCAGAGAGATAGAATAACATGTACAAGCCTTACTTTAACATTTGGTTCAACAATATCAATCTCAATTTTGAAATAATTTCTCAATTATCACCAGTAGATCCATAAACATGATAAGAATGATCAATTTGACAACACAAGTCCAAACACGTAGCAATTAGGCATAGGAAAGAAACAATATAAGAAAAACGGGAAGAAAATAGGGAAAACAGGTAAGTTGGCGGCGCATAAGTACTCGTCACCTCACATATACGCCGCTCACATGAATTTCACATAACAAATAGTCTAGGGTTCCTAATTCCCTCAACTCAAAGTTAGACACAACAATTACCTTGCTCTGAAGCGCACTTAATTCTCAATCACAACTTTTCCACTAGAATTCATCTCCAAACCACTCGTATCTATTAAAAAATGACTCAATAATATCAAATATTGCTAAAGGAATCAATTATATTGCATAAATTAAATTTTTCGAATTTTCCTCCAAAAAGTCGAAAAATCGATCCCGGGCCCACTTGGTCAAAACCCGAGGTTCGGACCAAAATCCATTTACCCATTCACTCCCGAGCTCGAATATGTAATTGGCTTTGGAATCCACCTCAAATTGAGGTTTAAATTCCCAAATTTCTGAAATCCCTGGTTTCTATCCTAACACCTAATTCTACCATGAAAACTCTAGATTTTAGGTTGATAATTCATAAAAATGTAATGGGTAATTGAAAAAAAATGGTATAGAATCACTTACCAACACTTTGGGAAAGAAAATAAATCTTGAAAATTCCCTCTAGCCCGCTTGTTTTGTGAAATGTGGGAAAAATGGATTAATCCCGTGTTGGATTCTGTTTTAAGTGCCGGGGGACAGTGTGCATCGCGTTCGCAAGGCCACTGTCGCGTTCGCGAGATAGTGTTCGCATTCGCGTAGGCTACCCCCCGGCCTTCGCATTCGCGAGACATTGCTCGCGTTCGCGATGAAGGAACGACCAACCCTCCCCCAAGGTCCCCAAGTGCTTCGCGTTCGCGATGAGCCGGTCGCGTTCGCAAAGGGTAAATCCCCCATCACTTCGCGTTCGCGACCAAGCCTTCGCGTTCGTGAAGAAGAGATTTTTAGCTGCCCAGTTTACTCTTCGCATTCGTGAGAGTACCTTCGCGAACGCGAAGAAGGACATGCCAGAACCCCTGCTGCAGCAAAATACCAGATTTTCTAAGTCCAAAACATCCTGTGGCCTATCCGTAACTCACCCGATCCCTCAGGGCTCTAAACCAAACATGCAAACAAGTCTAAAAATATCATACAAACTTGCTCGCGCGATAAAATCGCCAAAATAACACCTAGAACTATGAATTTTGCAACAAAACGAATGAAATTCTCAAGAACACTTTAAAATTCCTATCTTCTCAACTAAACGTCCGAATCACGTCAAATCAACTCCGTTTCTCACCAAATTTCACAGACAAGTCTTAAATATTATAATGAACCTATACCGGGCTCCGAAACAAAAATATAAACCCGGTACTCACAATGCCAACATCAATAAATTCTTAGAAATAAATAAATTTTCAGACTTTTAATTTTCCTCAAAAATTCATAACTCGAGCTAGGGACCTCCGAATTCGATTCTGGGCATACGCACAGAACCCATAATTTGATACGGACTCACCGAAACCGTCAAAATATAGATCCGGGCCCGTTTACCAAAAATGTTGACCTAAGTCAACTAAAATCAACTTTTAAGGCATAAATTCTTATTTTCAATAGTTTAAAACATAAAATTTTTTCGGAAACACGCCAGGACTACGCACGTAAATCGAGGAGGATAAAAATGAGATTTTTAAGGTTTAAGAGAGCAGATTCGAGTTTTAAAATATAAGATGATCATTCGGGTCATCACATAAATATTTATTAAACCATTAAGTGATTAATATCAAGTGCGCCAAGTGGGAGAATGTAAAATATGGCCCACGTGTGGTTTATAAATATTTTGGTTTAATAAATATATTTTGTTAAATTAATATTTGGATAAAATTAGGAGAAGTTAATTGTGGCTATAACTCCCCACTAACTCACTTTGATGGAAAGTGAGAATTAACCGATGGTCCCTCTCTCTACCTATTAAAATAAGAATAGCGTAATTTCATCATACTCTATTCTGAAAAGAACACATAAACGGGAGAGAATTACTTATTTTTCAAGAACAACAACATTAAAGAAGGCTTTCAGTCAATATCATTAAGAAAACATATCATGGATTCAGATAAGTTTTCTTGATTGAAATTATTGTATATATATTTTATGTGAAAATCATATAGTTTTTCTGTTCTAAATAATCAATAGGATTTTATATAGATTGTTTATTAATCACAATTGAGAACATGAAAAATCCTTACATTCCTAACAAACAACACAAGAAACTAATCAGTGTGAAAAGACTACTAGGCCAGAATCATTGGCTAGTTTGTCTCCTTTTGACCAAGTTCAGCTACCAACTGTTTTCATAAACCGAATTTATTACAACAAAATTGACATTTTAAAAAAAAAAGAAAAGAAGAAGACATCTAGTCTTTTTAAATTCTTATCTTACTGTTCTAATTATTGAAGTGTTAATTAAGTGAGACGTTTAAAAAAGGAATGGTTAGATAAATGATCTTATAATTAAGGTTATTAAATATAAGTATCTTTCTTTAGGCATGTGCAAGAACGTAATATAGAACAAAAGGAGTACATTCTTTACCAAAAGAATAAGAAGGTAACATGAAAGGCGAATCTCCTAATTTTCGATCCCACTCAATTATTCCCTCCTTCCATAATTATTGTCTAATTTGGAAAATTCATAGTTTTAAACATAGAAGATTTGATGCAGCCAATAATTGGTTTCCACTTATGTTCTTCTATTAATAACCTGACAATTGAAACACTGCTTCTTCTTTCGTTGAGTATATTTACAGTACCTCCCTTCTGTTATTTTCAAGTCAGTGTTATTTTCTTTTTTACTTTGACAAGTGAATGTTGGTAGTATTTTCCTATTATAGCCAGCTAATTTTCGTCCATGTTGACTGCTTTGTGTTGCACGATTCACGGTTTATTTGCAGCTAATGGTCCATTGAAGAAGACACTGTGCAATCAAAACACTTGAAAAGGAGCTTGTAGAGAATGACCCCGTCAACCGAGTCAGGAATTTATATTAGGGGTTAAAAAAAAAAGAGACAGGACTGTCACACTTAAATGTTTGAACCTATGACCTAAAGCAACGGTTGGATCTCCTTTGTGACTACACTAGAACCTTCCATATGCCAAAGAGGATTCAAAAGTTTATATATATAAACAAAAAAAATCATTTTTGCTGAACTTGACTCTACCCTGGGGTGGTATTATAGTCGTAATATACTCCAGAAAATGGACAATCAAACAAAAGGAGCCATGAAAATTAGCCACGTTGTCAAATCTACATTTTCAATTCTCAGGAAAAAGTTTACATATTCGAGGGTGTGTTTGGTACGAAAAGAAATATTTTCTATGGAAAATCCATGGAAGATGTTTCCATGTAAAATGAGTGGTTTTATCACTTATTTTCTCTTGTTTGGTTGGTGAGTGAAAAAACTTTTCCGGAAAGTATTTTTTACATGAGCATTTATACAATATTCCCTAAAGATCCGGATGTCACTGAGTACATGAGTATTTATAAAATAATATGGTCCGAAATACTGAAACACCATATAGGAAAGTAGAACAATATATGTAAATAAAACTAACAGATAAAGAAGGAGAGTCAAGGTCTGTGGACGTCAGAGCAGCTACCTCGAAAATCTTTGAACTGATAAAGCTCCGAAAACCAGCAAACCACCGTATCCGGAAGTACCTGAATCTGCGCCCGAAGTGCAGGGTGTGTACAACCAACCCAGTAAGTAACAAGTCTAACCTTTGAGCTGAAAGCAGTGACGAGCCCAACAGGTACAGTGCAAATATAGAAATAAAAGTACAAAAATATATACATGCTTTCAAGTTCAACAGTTAAAGCTCAAACAGGTAAAATATGCCAAGTGTAACTGAAATGAGGAATGATACGTCTCGATATTTACATTTCAATTATGTATGCCAACTGTAATGCAAAACACTGATGAAATCATACGGATACTCTCAGAGTATCAAATCACTCAGTCCTTACATTCACTCAATCCTCACAGTCAGTCATTCCTCACAATCACTTAGTCCTCATAGCCACTCAATCCTACCAATAGCTCGGCACTCGCACTCAACACTCGCACTCGCACTCACACTTAGTAGGTCATGCACTCACTGTTGATAAGTCAGACTCCGGAGGGGCGGATACAGCCCAAGCACTATAATAAGTCAATCATGGCATGAACTAATAAAGCATATTGTGGCATGCAGCCCGATCCCATAAATATCCTCACAATCAGTCCCTCGGCCTCACTTAGTCATCAGTCTCTACAGTCTCTCGAGCTCACAAGTCTTATGATATTCAGCCCAAACAATGATGATTTGATGCATCAATAAATGGCAACAGAGACTGAGATATGATATGCAAATAATAGCTGTGACTGAGTACATGATTGCAAATTAAGCAAGTAATTTAACAGCAACACGACCTCTACGGGTCCCAACAATACCAACATATGGCCTAAGCATAATTTCTAACAAGAATCACATCTCAATTTCTTTAACACATGGGAAATACGTGGAAAGTGACAAGTTATATGACTACACAGTTCCACGGAGTCAACCGAGTCACAATTCTTACGGTGTACGCCTACATGCCTGTCACCTAGCATGTGCGTCACCTCAATACCAATCACATAACACCTAATTCGGGGATTTATACCCTCAAAACCATGTTTAGAAGTGTTACTTACCTCAAGCCGTGCAAATCTCTACTCCAATAATCTCTTGCCTTATGAATCGGCCTCGGAATGACTCGAATCTGGCTACAAAAAACACGATACAATCAACACAAGCCATAGGAATCATTTCAATATGAAAAAACTAAGTTGTTAAGCAAAAGTCAAAAAGTCAACTCAAAAAAATAACTGCGGACCCACATCTCGAAAGCTTATAAAAGTTTCAAAATCCGAACACCCATTCAACCACGAGTCCAACCATACCAAATTTATCAAATTCCGATACAAAATCGTCACTCAAATGCCCAAATTTTATTTTTTAATCTCTAGCCTAAAACTCCCAAAATTTCACCTCGCAAATACATAAACTAGGTGAAAAATTCAATAGGTAATTAATATTATTGCATACAAATGATCAAGAGTGACTTACCTCGAGAAACCCCTCGAAATCCCTCTCAAAAGCGCCTTAATTCGAGTTTGCAAAGTCCAAAAATGATAAAACCTCGGAACCCTATGTTTATATTCTGCCCAGTGCTTTTCGCACCTGGGACCAACTTGACCATATTTGCGGTTCTCCTGGCAACCTCCTGTGCTCACACCTGCAGACAAGGTTCCGCATCTGCGGAGCCGCACCGACAACCAACATTTTCACGACTCTATTTTTCTTGAAGAATTTAATTATTCTTCTAAAAATTCACACAAACCCAAAGAAACTAATGTGCTGCTTTATATTTTTACGCAAAAGTAATGTTTAAATTTGTGCTCCATAACTAAAAAGAAAATACTCTATTTTTAGTTGAAAAAGAAAGTACTCTTTCTACAACATGAAAATAAAGTACTCATTTTATTAAAAGAAAAGAAAATACTTTTTCTACACCATGAAAAGAAAATATTCATTTTGTTGAATTGAAAAAAAAAAACTTTTTCTACATCATGAAAATAATATTTTTTTGTTGAAATGAAAGAAAAACTTTTTCTATGAAAAAAGAAAGTATATGTTTTTGTTGAAATGAAAAAAATACTTTTTTATATCATGTAAAAAAAATAGTCATTTGTTGAAATACAAAAATGAAATATATCTATAACATTAAAAAAAGTACTATTAATAATATTTTTATTTGGGGC